AACTGTTTGTAAAGCTAATAAACAAAGCAGACATTTTGACTCAGGAAGACTGCAATTTAGGACATTCTTTAGAATTAGCACCACCCTGAATAGTTAGAAAATAAACCAGCTTCTTTGTATGTATAGAAATTCTATCCCTAAATAATTAGCTCCAATAGAAATTCCTTCCTTCTATTTATGTAATTATTTCCCTTTACTTTCTCATAAATACCCCCTGCCTTCACCTCATAATTGTAATGCTATTTGGGTTTCTGTCTGAATCAGTGCTTCTAGAAGTATAATACTTTTTGATCTAAAATAAACACTTATTCCCTCTTACTTTGGTTTTTAATTTTTATTTTAACAAGGCCTTGGGTTCATACCTAGTGTTTGGCTCTGGAGTCTGCACTTTTAACCAGCAAGCTCTCGTCCTCATCACATATCAGATATTAGTTAACTACTTAATTCTCATATACCCCATGGTATAGCTCTACCAATATGATATCTATTTGATAATGAGGAGATTGGTCCAATCAATGTCAATCTGCTAGTATATGAAAGAACTAGGTTTTTAAATTTAGTTCTGTTTGGCTCTTCTGATATTTTAAATCCCATCCACTTCAGCCTCCCAGAGAAGATCGGATAGCTATTATTTTCAATAGCATATTGCATTAGAGATAAAATAGATTTTAAAGGAAAGATAAGTGGTTTACTAAAATATTATGGCAACTATCAACTCATACACTTCTAAAATATTAAAACACTTAAGCCAGTTATTAGATTTTTCTAAAATATGTAAAATACTGTTAAACTAATATTGAATGTCATCATTCTGAGAAGCAGAGCTCAAAGGACTATTACTAAAAATTAAAACAATTATTCATCTCACTGTTTATGTGATTTTCCTAGGGTAACTGCAATTACCTCAAGAGAGGTAATTTTTTTGAACATTAAAAAAATACATTTTAACTTATTTTGCCTACTGCAAATATAAAATGTTATTTAGTATTTGGGTATAACAGATTACAGATTGAGTATTACAAAATCAAAATAAATCCATAAGTGTTATAAAAATATAATTGCTACTTCAAAATAGACTATTTCAATTATTATTATCATTGCTACTATTTTTCCAAATGAGACGGTTAACCATTTATATCTGAAAAATTAGGTAGTATTAATATGCCAGTCAAGTCATGATGATCCACTAGGATGTAAAATTTATAGAAAAATATATAAAGTTTGTTGTTATTATTGTTTATAAGGACATTCCTACATAAATGTATTCTTTCCTTGTCTGAGTTCAGATTTAGAGTTTTGATAACCACTTATAATAACCACTATTGCAGGATTCCAGATCTCTTGTTATACACTGAATATTGGAGGATAAAAGAGAGTACATCATAGATGGGTTATAGCATAAACTTTAACAAAATGGTTTGTCACTGGTGTCCTACTATGAGTCATTTATGGTTTGATTACCTTTAGGTCCCTTGAAAAGTTTGATTTCCACAACAGTCTCCAGAATGGGTCGCCTCCTACGCACATACAGCCGAACAATAGACCCTGCCTCTTTGAGGGCCTCCACCGCTTTACTGTGGGAAACCTCTGACACATCCACCTCGTTCACCCGCAAGATACAATCATTGACCCTGAAAGAAAGGAAAAATGCAAAGGTCAAAAGTGTCTAGGAGAATTCTCAAAGAATATCGTTATGCTTTCTAACCTTATGAAGTGGGGGAACAAAGAATGTCAGCAATTTTAAAATGCTTAAATTTGGAAAGAATATTTCAAATAAAGAAAATTTAAAAAAAACAACAACACACACACCTTAAACTCCTGAGCTTTCCTAGCTTCCCCACATTGGCTAGTCAAGTGCCATCCTAAACTCCAGTCCACTCTGACTAGTTCTGCATCTGGTGTGGTGTAGTTAGAAGGACATGCTTTAAGGTCTCTGCCAGTTCCATCATAATTTTAATTGGCTTTAATTGGTTGGACTGAGGGTTTCAGACTTACTACTATGGACTCTAAAGGATACTTTTGAAATTAACCCAGTTATTAATTAATAACAGGAAAGAAGTACAGGGAAGGTTAGATGATAGAGGAAAGCCATTTGTACAACTTTGCCAGAAGACTGCAGTTTAACACTCTCTGGGTCTGTTCCTTGCAGATCGCCGGGGGAAGAGACTGCACAGTAGACACATGCCCAGTATGGTCTGGGTGAAGTGGGATGGTGCTTGCATGTCAATCATATCTGGAAACAAATCATTGGCCACAATAGGCCTGGCTACTGTAAGCGTGAGAATATTGGATATTTAAACTCCAAAACAAAGGAAGTTTACTCTCTTGGCCCACCTGGCCCCCTTCTGGTCCCAGATGTCTGACTGTAGGGGGTGTGCTCCCCTGCATTTGCTCATGTGGCCCACAGCCACGTGGACCCCCCACACAATGGATCAATGGATTACAATTAGTCTCATACTCTGCCAGATTCAGCTCCACCACGGAACAGAAACTCTGGACGCTGGCTTCCAGCTCTATTGAAACCCCAGCTGCACCTTTTCCAGGACTGGTTTAAGGGAAAGGGGACTTGGGAAACCAAGGGATATAATTTCATGCGAATAAAAATATCTCATTCTCCCGTGTGAGTCTTAGATAATTCTTTTTCTCAAGATATTGCAAGAACCCCACTCCCACTAGCATCAGAGAAGTCCCATCCAAGCAATTCTCTGATAACGTAGAGACATAACAAATGTGAGTTTATAAATTACTTTTTTTTTGATTTTTTAGAAAATCTGAAAAATAAAACTACGTAGAAAGAAAACACACACACACACACACACATACACACACATATAAAATAAACCTATTAGTTTATTTGTATTCTGGCAAATTACCTTCTATTTTTTGTTTATTTGTTTGTTTGTTGTTTTTTTCAAATTCATCTCATAATATCATCGGTGTTGAAGTTCAGATTTCACAAAATTCAAAAAGAATCTCAGACAATTCTTGCCCTAGATACTTACTTTGAATGCTAAGAATTATGATAAAGTTTACATTAAACTTTCTTTTTTGCCATTTTCTCATGGGAAAAAATAACTTGACTTTTCCATAAAATATATTATCAATATGAAGAAATGGAAGTTCCAACTGGTTATGTTTTCTGTATAAAACTTTCAGGAATTTGGATAGAGATTAGATATGATCTCAAGTCTTCCTATTTCAGAATTTGGTCTCTTTCCTCTTGAGACCACATACAGTGAGTCCTCACTTAATGTTGTTGATGAGTTCTTCAACTTTAAGTGAAATGACATTAAAAAAAAACACACAATTTTACCATAGACTAATTGATACAAACAAAAGTTAAGTTCCCATAGCATCTCATTATTATAATGAAGTGACATTAAATGAACAACATTGTTTAAGGACCTGCTGTACATATAATGTGATGAGCAGATATATGTATCTTGTGTACATCAATTCATAATTATAACATGGGCTCCGGCTACTGTGGCTCACTTGTTGGGCAAACCGTGGTTGCTGGTTTGATTCCCAGACAGGGCACATGCCTGGGTTGTTGGCTCCACCCATGGTGGGGGGTGTGCAGGAGGCAGCCAATTGATGCTGTGCTCTCACATCGATGTTTCTTTCTCTCTCTCCCCCTCTCCCTTTTTCTCTAGTAATCAATACACTATTCTTTAAAAAAATTATAACATGGTAACAGGAGTATTAAGCAAAAAGTATAGAAAAAAATTTCCTATCATTTTTGTCCATAACTTTTCTATACCTACTTGAGGATCTGAGTTTTTAGAACTCTTATCTCAATGAGAACCCTAAGTGGCCTCAGAATCCTGAAATGGAACATTGCACTAAGATTTAGTGATGTGTTTCATTCTGACAGATGCTATGGCTTTAATAGGTTTACACATACATTTCCACTCTAACTGACTAAAAAATAATTCACAAAAAATTACCAATTAAAATAGTTTTGAGAATGTAGGCACCACGGGTGCCTGGCTCCCTGGAGCAGCTGGTCCTTTGAGAGTAGGTAATTTTGTCATCTCGTGATAATGCAAAAACACTATGTCTACCATCACCCTATGCTCAGAACACTAATCATATCTTAAAATGCTGCTTGCTGTGAAAAGGAGTGGCTGATATATTTAAAAAAATTTGCATGCTGTATCTATTCAAAGAGTAACTTTTTCCTTTTGTATACAGCATAAATCTTAATTGTCAATTGCTGGGATAACAAATCACAGCCTCAATCAGATGGTTTTTCTTGAACCTGTGGATGAAACAGGCATCCTTAGAGCACTGAGAAGAGCACTGGACTAGTCATCAGGGGGCTTGGAGTTGAGTCCTAGCATTGTATCAGCTGTGTGACCATGGTAAATTACTTCATGTCTTTGAACTTCAGCTTCCCACTGAGGAAAGGGGGATAGCCATGCCCAGAGTTAGTGGGAGGAGTAACCATATAGATGACATATATGGATGTATGTGTAAATTGGAACACAAGACACATCTGAGAGTTTTAGCTATTGATAGGTGAGTCACAGTTGCTGTGTTCAAGAATTTGTTAAAAGGTAACTAAGAGGGATATGATTTCCTATTTAAACATTGGGCTCTTTCCTCTTAGGACCACATAGAGTAAGTCCTTACTTAATGCCGATAGGGTCTGCAACTTTAAGTGTAATGACATACGTCAAAACCAATTTTGCCTTATCACTCTGGTCACTTCACTTATTTGCTCACACTTAACTCAGACCAATTATGAAGCACCAATAGTCGTTTTGCAGACAATTACATTTTACTGCCAAGGTACAGTGTTGGTGACGGCATGAACGTGATTCCTATCTGGGTTTGCCTTTTTCTGGAGCCTATGCTGATATCAAGTTATTCAGAATTGATTGTTTTAAAATGAAAAATAAATTGGGAGTGTGGAGAAAGGAATTTATATTCAAACCCGTAAGTAGAAAGGAGAGACTACAACTTCCCCTTCTCCTAATCACTTCAAATAGCATTTGGCCAAAGCTATTGTGCTTAATTTGCTTTCTTTGCCAGTAGTTAACCTTTGAGAGTAAAGCCACCATTTAAATTCATTTTGAAACATGTAAATATATTACTAACTTCAGAAAAATAAATTGTCCCAGTAAGAAGTGTCACCTTTATCATATCTCTGACCCATTGTTTTAGAAAAGCATTTACATACAAATTTCCTCTCTACTCTACCCATGTAATTAAGCTCATAGTTACACTGCTTGCTGTTTCAGACATAAGTCTACAATATTCTTTTTAGAATAGTCCATGAGATTAAAGGATTCATTTTAATCTTTTCCTAGTTTCATTTCTTTTTGATATTCTGATACATCTACTGGCAGAAAATACCTTAGAAACAAAAAGAATATTTCACCATTAATATGTCCATAGAATCGCATCTAAATTTTGCACTAAACAATTTAGTAGTCTGGAACATGATATCGTATCACTGAAAAGTCAAACAATATTTAACAAAGTATTGGTTCCATTTTGAAGATATAATTTAAAATCACATGTAATACATACTTTCTTTCATAGATATTAAAGTATGTTCTGTTGTAAAATAAGATTTGTGATTTTATACATCTTAAGGATGTTAATTTATTTAAAATAATCACTAAATGCTTGTGATTACAAAATTTAAAAATTTCTGTTCTTTATGAATTTAAAATACTGGAAGGATATAGGTTCCTCAAAAACTCAAGAACAGACCTACCATATGACCCAGCAATCCCTCTTATGGGTATCCATTTTCAAAAATTTTGAAAATATTTATTCATGAAGATATATGTACCCCTCTGTTCACTGCAGTATTATTCACAGAAGCCAAGGCAGGAAATCAACCCAAGTGTCCTTCAGTGAACGACTGGATACAGAAGATGTGGTACATACATATAATGGAATACTGCTCAGCCATAGGAAAAGATGAAATACTACCATTTGCAACAACATGGATGGATCTTGAGAGTATCATGCTGAGTCAGACAGAAAAGAACAAGAATCATATGATTTCCCTCATATGTTGGATATAAAATAGAAAGCAACAAATGGACGAACAAAACAAATAACCAAGAACAAAAATACTCATTAACATAGTATAGTGGTTACCAGAGGGAAAGTTGGAGGAGATTGAAGAGGATAAAGGGAATCACATACATGATGATAGGAAACTAAACTTTGAGTGATGAGCACACAATGATATATACAGGTGATGTATTATACCATTGTACAATGTTATAAACAATGTGAACCCAATATATTTAAGAAAAAAATACTGGAAGAAAATATAAGATTCAGCTGTGGTTCTTTGTGAATGTAGAGATGATGGGTATTTTTTTAAAGCATATATAAGGGCCAGGCTAGTGGGCTCAGTGGTTGAGTGTTGACCTATGAACCAGGAGGTCACTGTTCAATTCCCAGCCAGTGTACATGCCCGGGTTGGGTTGCGGGCTTGATCCCCAGTAGGGGGCATGCAGGAGGCAGCTGATTGATGATTCACTCTCATCATTGATGTTTCTATCTCCCTCTCCCTCTCCCTTCTCTCTGAAATCAATAAAAATCAATAAACTATAAAAAAAAGCAAATATAAGGAAAGAAGCCAATGCTTGAGAAGGTG